CATTTTTCGGTTTCAGTTGTCCCACTGAATTATTACTGAAAAATTTACAGATGATACAGTTTGAGTACAAAAAATATCAGTGGTGGTTTTTACTTTTTATTGTGTGCAAAACGATGTTACCAGAGTTCTTCTTTTTTTTTTTAAAAACATTTCTATTTTTTTTTTTTACCCATTTTTTCTTCACCTTTTTTTTTTTTTTCTTTGCTTCAGAAAAGGAATTAAAATAAAAAGAACTACAAATGGAAATGGTTAATGGTTTAAATCAAAATCAACAGTTATACTTCTTACCCATTCAAATGCTTGCAGTTTGTTTCCAGAAGTGTATTGATTCGTTATATGTCACCAATGATGTATCCGTGCACCGTTCCTTCTTCTGACCAGCTTACCTCATCTACTCACTTATTCACATCTATAAATCTATCTATCTATCTATCTATCTATCTACTCATCTACTCCCACTTTTCACCCTACTATTGTCAGCATACTTAAAAACTTTATTTTTCTTCAACGTACTTTATTCATATGTTTAGTAATATAGCCGTATTTCTGATTGTTCGGTTTTGCATTGACAGCATGTCAAGTTACTTACTTACTTTATATACATATATATGCATATAGAATGTCATATTACTTAACTTTTCACTGCAAAAAAATTTTTCACTTTTTTTTTCTATTGTTGTCGTTTACCAATGGAACTGAATATATGTGAACAAGAAACCGTAAAATACTTGATTTCACAGTATACGGTTACTTCAGTGATGGCAGGTCTACGTAAGGACACGATCTATAAAGATTTTTATGGTACCATTGTACCGCGCTTAAATTTCGATGCTGAAAAGGCTGCTGATGCTTTGCACGAATCTATGGTGGGAGTTGGATGCGATAAATTGGCAATCACAAAGATTATTATTGATGCATCTAATAGCCAACGACAGCAGGTTTATTTTACATATTCTATTGCTGAACGGCGGAGGAAAAGTCAGTGGGACAACTGAGAAACAGCAAAAAGATCTTCTCAGAAAGTTTTTTAAATAAATTTACAAAAAAAAAAAAAAAGTTTCCTTGTTTTATCAAAATGCATCAAATGTGACCACCTATGGCGTCATCAAAAATTGAGAATGAGAAGTTGAAATCATTGTAAATCTATAGAAATTATTGAATGACAGTGGATTTTTTAACAGTTTAACTTTTTTTTTTGTTCACCAGTATTCTTTTGTCATTCAGTATCCATTGGCTTGCCCAGTTACTTGCATCACTGCAGTATGATTACGTTTTGTTCTATCATTAATTGCTAAATTTAGGCTGAGTCAGATTTAATCTTTAGAAAGACTTGATCTAACTTTTTCTATTGCAAATTTTCACTAATGAGCATTAGTACTAAATTCTGGTCTTTTTATTACTAACTTACTGATGATCAGTTCAGTTTTAAATTGTCCATCAAGCGTTCAGCAAAATTTTTTGTTATTGTCGTTGTTTTTTTTTTTCTTCCGTATTACATTTCATTTTTTCAATACCGATCACTTATATTTAAGACGCTCATCGATTGGGCGAGTAGAATATGGAAAAAGTTTTTTTGTTGTTTTTACCTGTGATTAGTGCTGCTTAAATTACCACTTACATTATTAGAGTTCTTCCAAGAGAAGACGATGAAGTCAAAAGAAGAAAGTAGTAATACGAATTAAAGTTTTTTTTTTTTTTCTTGGTGTGATCCCAGGGAAAATAGTCAGTTTCACTTTTTCTTTCTTTGTGCAACGGACAGTAATACAAGCTCAAATATTTTTCTTTTTATTTTTGACATTCTGTCTGCATCATTGTTCTTTCTGCTATTGTAAGATATTTAACAAGTAAAGAAACCTTCATTATTTTGTTCTTTTTTCTTTTTTCTCTCTTTCTTCTATTTTTCTTCAATTTTAACAACTAACTAACTGCTCAACCAAAACATCAATTAAAAGAGCAAAGGAAAAAAAGAATATTATTTATTACTACAGTCAGAAAAATAACGGCAACAATTTTCGTTTGACTTTAAAATCGTTCTGCGAAATAGGATAGAAAAATTTGTACAAAATTAAAAAAAAAAAAAAA